CGTATACACAGTCAACCATTAACTTACTAGGTGCGACGAATTCCACGGCTTCTGCTTCGTCTGAAGGGATGTCTGCCGCAACGGTAGGAGGCTTTTTCATACAAAAGTAGCGAATTGCTGCTCTTTTTGGAGTTTATATAGACGAAAACAACGAAATGTTTCGCCTGGTACTCTTTCAAAGCGACTTGGAATGCACTGAACGAGAAAAAACTTTGACGAGCTAAATTCTCCACAAAATCATCCTCCGCATTCACGTGCTCAGCCATAGCAGCCATTTAAAATATGAATATCCTGGGTCTTGAATATCATGTGGATTGAGTAGATTTAAACAACTTTCAACAAAACTGCGGCCGTTTGGGAAGATCTCATACGCCCGAAAAATTACCATCAAATGTTAAAACTTTATGTTAAAGTTTTCCTCCTTCGAACCACGGTTTCAGAGAAATTTTCGGCGTGCGTCTAGCCCACGGCTGCACCGCAGTTGTCCCAGATTGGAGGAGGGTTTACAACTTGGTTACGTGGCCGTGAAACATTTCTTTGGGTTGAATGGGTGGACAAATATTGCAGAGTTAGAGTATGTCTACCGCAAAGAGAGGAGAGAAACAAAGGTTTGGTGATGTTTAAAAGAATAGACGCACAAAGAGGATTATTCAAATGGTAGTTGGGAAGCGCACAAACTGTTGATTGTCACTTGGATCCAGCCACGACTGGTTTTGTCACCGGAAATACTGGGAACTCTGAGAAGCAAAGTAAATTGGTGGAATATTGAGATAAATGCGAACGTGGTTAGCCAGTGCCTCCTTAAAAGTCACGCAATTTTGAGAAAACACGAAGCCAATAATTCATGCTTCTATTCTGACTAACGTTGTGAATATGCATGCATAATGCCACACACCAGTGGGGAATAAACATCCTCATCATAATACGTCACAAGACAATTAAATATAGGCAGCCGGACTTATGTTGCAGATGACTCACAAATAAAACTACGCACTCAGCTAAATATATGAAAGAGGATGACGGTAGAAATCCGGACGGGACAGTTCAATAAGCTCGTTAGGAAGCCCAGTATGATTGAAGGATGGTACTTGCTTAACTTGCGACAGCGTGGGTCAATCTGTTGAATACCCCAGGCATCTTTTGCAGTGTACCTCAAGATAAGAATGTGTGCAAGACGGAGGCAACTTTTTAACTTGAAATATGGCAAGACTTAGATTGATGAGTAGAGTATTTTATAGAAAAGTTGTCAAGTGAGCCTCTACGGATACAGCTATTAAAAGACCAACCAAGTGAGGACTTATCCAATAAAAGATTGGTGGCAGCTCTACGGAAAGAGCGGAAACTAAGGAAGTTACAACACAGGTCTTAAGATTTTGCTTTTGCTTATTGCTTGGCAGAAACTAAGAAGCGGAATGCCGCAATAACCCCTCATCTCTAAAACAAAACGTTCGAATTCATGCCACCATGCCTCCTCTGCGGACTGGACATATGGGCTTCGAAACCTCTCCCGTAACACCAAGCTTTTTTCAGCTAGTGCACAAGTCTTGCGGAATTTGTGGAGCATTTTAAATTTTTAGATCATCCCTCAATATACTTATGCATTCGCCGCCTATATTGGAGGGCTAAGAGACATCAACTTTAGCAGTCCGTTGTGGAGACTAATCTGCCCGCATTCTGTCCCCTATTTAGCATTACCATAGTGCTTTTCATAGAAGGACGGATTAGGTTATCGTATGCACAAAACCTGTCACTTCCCAAGCTCTTTTTGATATCTAAAATGTGCTGAGAAATTCTTAGTTTTCAATCAAAACAGTGCGTTATTTCGGCCGTCAGCTTTGAATTTTGGGGTTGAATTCTAACAGAAATTTGCGCGCTCTGTTGCTGATATTTGACTTTTGAGATTGACAATTTTGGTTTGTATATCCTAGTTAAAATTTTTCACAACCCATATACGATAACGCCGCACTCGTATAGTAAGACGAGGTGGCATCACTGGCGCCGGTTGCAAATATTTGCCACCTAAATATAGAGAAAATACAGCACGACTGCCAGGTCTTGAAGAATATTGGGTCACTCTGATGCTGGCACGACTGGCACTGAACTTTAAACTCGACAACTGGTGCAGCAATAGTGACGAGGACATGGCTGTAGTCTGACGAGGAACGTGAATGACAGGAATTTGGTTTGGGGTTTGTAAGGTTTATTGACTTACGCATGCTGTAGGAAGGTGTCTGCTTTAAACCATGATGAATAGTCGTTGCGAAAATCAAAGCTTATTAGTCGTAGCATTCAACAGGCTCAATGACAACCAGAGCCATTCATGGAGAGAAACGTGTTGTTTGAGTACCTAATTCACCGGCTGAATAACCGCAGCTGCTGACAATCCCCTCCCCTGTGCCGAATACTAAATTCAACCTAATGAGGGCCGAGTAAGGCCAAGAGCCGAGTACACTGGATACTTCTTTACTATATCCCGTCTACATGCCACGTATAAGCTGCCCATCCCGATAAACTGCTGTGATAACAGAGCCCTCACGAGCGCATGAGCGAACAAACCTGTTTGGGTTTGCTGTTAAAAATAGTCAGCTCCGTTGCTGTTTTCTTCTTTTCGAGCAAAAAAATAAACTCTTTCACCAAAATCAATCACACCCCAAAGTTATCTATGATCCTCTCGCTTCTCAACCGGAAGGCAATGATACTGAACTCGCAAAACCTGTTGCAATCCCCGAGTGCAGAACAACCTAGAGTGTCAGTAATTGATCACTTTCTACAGATTGTTTATTTCCTAACCATCAAATGGAGTTTATGTTGAGTCCCGGATACCCAACGGGGTGGACAACCGAAGTATGTCCGGCCAAGGATGGCAAGGCGCTGCTACACCCAGTTTGATAGCACAACCTCAACAATTCCATTCCTACTCTCGAACGTGCCCCGTTGCCCACTCGTTTCATTAACTACAAAAAACTAAAATCAAACGCCTGTAAGACGGGATCTTTCGTACCCTATGAACTTTGGCTCAAACTGGGCAAGCCTGGTTTTCTGCTGCAGTTTTGGCTTGCTCTTTCCACTGTAAAGGTCTGGCTAAACAACAAGTTAGTGTACCAGGAGTGTGTGGCAAAGAAATAAAAATAATTACGCTAGGTTGGGTATACAAAAATAAAGAAGTCAGATAGAACAGGCTCACTAACAATTGTTCTCTCTAAAATAGTTCGTCGTTGGCCCAGGTCAGCGAATGAACAATAATCCAATTATGTTGGTCCAGAGGTCTTCTTCTGAACAGTTCCCACATATAATAGATTCCGAAGATGTCTGAAATGTTTTGGTACCAGAGTTAGTACATGAGACTCGCGAATGACCGCTGCGAGCGCGAGCGAAATCAGAAGAGAGAGTCGAAGCACGTGACCACGCTTGTATTGTGTGAAATTGTACAAGTGCGCGTTTTTGTGGTTTTTCGTATTCAAACAAGAAACGATTATGCAATTGATGAAATACGTAGTGTTATAATGGAAGTAAAACAGAGGTACAAAACGCCACACCACAAGTTCAAATCTGTATACAGTGTTCGTTTGGCTATATGCATTTGCACCATGCCCCCATCCAACCTATCCCTTCCACCTGACTTCCCTGCAACCGTGCAACCAGTGAGCCTGCTTAGTTTCAGATTACACCATTTTTTGAGACAAAACTGGTCATGTTTTCCCAAGTCGAACTATTCCATCTCCATCTCCACTTTTGCTCGCTGTGGCTCCGGCCTTTACCTAACCGCCCAAGGTCACTCATGTTTTTCACTTTTAGTCCGTGTTAGCCGCCCAAGTCTTTGAACTAGTCGGACCTCATGCCCATCGTTCCCTACAAGCTGGAAAAAACCTATTATTATTCCATTGAATACTTCCCACCATTTATGACATTTTGCTCTTTTCGCGCAATCCCCACTACCCGCAAACCCCCCAGTTATGTTTCATTTTGACTGCCGACGTATGGTCATTCTAGACGGTATGCCACCCACAAGTTGGGAACAAACATTATTGTTATCATAACAAAGCTAGTTTTTAGGGATCCCGGAGCATTTCAGACGAGTGAATATCACCCGGATGTGCATGAAGCGCTTTGGGGCTGTCGCACCGGAGTATCCAGAATCAGCCTATCCAGGTGAGAACACTAGGGGCATCACTCATGGTTGAACATTGGCCTTTCTAGCACTGGATACGGCTTCATCGTACCCGTTTGTGAGGCCGAAAGCATCAAAAATAACCGCGCGTCTACTATAGATTCATCGTTCAGGTTTGATAAGGGTCTTACGTAGCAACGGAGGCGAAGAGGTCGGACCTAAAAGGCAGTGATCGAATGCAGTAGCCGTCTGTGAATCGGGCAAACGTGGTTATGCTATTGTCGCGGAATACTCGAATGAATTAAAACCACTCATTTGATAATAGCACAGATGAAATGTCGTATAACGTTCAACCTTGAGCCCGGCTCCATTAGATAGTTAGTATGAAAGGCGGCAGAAACTAGAAGTGGCTGTAGGATAATCCCGTAACTAGGGTTAACGATCTGTCTACTCCTCACCAAGCGATATAACGACCTACAGCGCAGTGAGTGAACGAGGCGGTCTTCGAGAGACTGCCAATTCTACTGCCACAATTCGAACACCTAAGTGTTGGTATCCTTGAAATCTCACACACTTGCTCGAAGAGACGTAAACCGGAGTGCTTTTGAACTGAAACTGAATTTGGTCGGGACTAACTGATGGTGTTGAACACGCAAAGGCTTCAGCCGTCGAAGTTTGGTAAATCTCCCAGACGGCTGTTTGCCTTGGTTTCGGATTCTCCCTCAGAACTTCTGGCCTTGGAAAATATTTTTCGGTCGAAGTCCACAAACGCTCGACTTCCCACACTTATACAACAATTACACCTATCAGCCCTCTTGTTTTAATTACTTTAAGTAGCTGCACTAGGCTGGTCGACCTTGATAGCCTTTCAAGTGCTCACATAGATTTCGCCAACAGTTTTCGGCCGTTGGTTTCGTACTTCTTGTTGACGTTCTTCGGGTGGCTTACGTGCGTCGCTGATCCTTCTGTGTTTTTTCACATCACGCCTCAGCTGAGTATATCCTAGTGAGTTGTCGGTCCCCTGTTTGTCAGTTTTCAAAACGATTTGTCTCTTCATTCGCGGTTACTTAATTTTTGTCGTATCAAACTGTTTATTGACTATGCTGTAGTGAGATTCAGCTGTAATCA